CCCAAAATGAAAATATATTTTCGATGTATGATAAACCACTAAAAAAGTAATATTTATAATTATTTTTCTATTTTATGGAAAACTTGAATAATATTGTAGGATTATACATAGAGGAACTTGAATTCTCTCTTTTATTTTATTTTTTCCTTCTCTTTCCATCCTCTCTATCTGTCTTAATCTTACTCTTGTTCATTATTGAAAAAAAAAATATAACTAAAAGAGAGAGAGGACGGAGAGAAAAAGTGAAAAATAAAAAAGAGGATCTAAAGTATACATGGAATATATCGTCAGCTTTTAAACAGAATTATGTTTTTCAAAAAAGGAAAAGAGAAAGGATTAGTGTTTTCCTTAAGAGTTAATGTAGTTGTTTTGAATTTCTTTTTTTTTTTTATATCGATAATATATTTTTTTAAATAGTTTCATTGAAAAGATTATGCAGAAATAGTTGGGAAACGGACAAATTATGATATTATCTTTATCTAAATAGCAAAATTAATCTTTTTAAAAATTACATAATATTTATAATTTTAGGTGACACAACATTATTATGGATGAATCTTTGTATTTTTCGTAAAAGATTCATTATTTTTTGGTTAGAAAAAAATGTTAAAGACAAATTTTATAAAACATGTTGATTATCAGAACATGATTTCTCATGTTTGACTATTTTACTTGAATCGGTTTTGAGAGTTGTATGTTCCGCAGTAAAATCTACCGTTCTCAATCTCACGAATGGAAATACTCCGGTCAAATTTACACATATATGTTTCTCTCATATTCATCCATAGATCAAAATATATGTTGGCCTAAGAGTCAATCTCCTCTCGTAGGTCAATCTCCTCTTTTTTCACATATACCCCTGAATATATCAAATATGGCATCTCTAGCAAAATCATGTTCGTATTTGAATCCTGAAAGCTCTTAGCAATAAATAATATATTTCCCAAATGTATCCAAACACATCTTGCAGGAAATAAGACAAACCTCATCAACGAAATAAGAGAATCATAAACCAGTATTTAAAAATGATACGATACTCTACAAGACCTAAACCAATAATAAAGATATCAAGGAGAAAATCTTGAGCATGCTTGTAAACCGCCAAAAACATTTTTTTTGTAATCATATCAAATTTTATTTTCATGTCTTATTTTGAACACTTTCACTAAAAAGACAACTTACTACAGCATATTATACTTTAAGAAAGACGGTGTCCTTTATAAACTACCAATAGGATCAAAAGTTAATTCTTTTGAATTAATTAATTTTTTCTTGCAACAAAAAATTTATAGTTTTTTTTTTCTTTTTAAAAATACTTTTTTAAAAGATAAAAATTGAAAAATACAATGAAACAATATAATAATTTTATACTGTCATTTAATGAACTTAATGTAAAGTGTATTACCACTAAACTCTTTTTTAATTCATATTTTTATTTTTTTAATGCATTCACTTTTAATTAATAACTATATTGTTGTATTTCAAACTATATTCAATAAAAAAAGTAGTAACTAGCTAATAAATTATCCGATATTAGATTAAGGATAAACTATTATATTAAATTTAAGGTATTTAATAAAATTAACATTTAAGTTAATTAATTAATTAATTAATATATAATTTTATTTTAAGTTACATACTTTTTAAATTGATACTAAAATGAAGAAAAAAATTTACCTAAATATTTCAAAACAATAAACCAATAAAAAGTAATATTTTTTTATAATTTTCCTTTTTCTTTTTTTTGGAAATTTGACTAATATTTTATCGTCACAAATGGAATGTATTTACGGCTTTCAAACATCATACGATTTTTCATAAAAGTTGCTGCTTTTCTTAAAAGAAGTTTTGTTGGGTTAATTAAATTTTTCTAATAACCAAAAAAGAGAATATTGTTTTCTTTAAAAGTAGTTCTTATGAATACATCAAATTTTAAATAATTACCAATTATATGATTGTATTTTGACTAAATTATAATTTTAGTTCTCATATTTTAGTCTATTTATGATAGTTTTGATTCTTTTTAGATATGTGTATTTAAATTTAATAATGTGTTATTTTTTAAGATAAAATTAAATTTTAAAATAAATACTAACTTCCTCTAAGATTTATTAAATGATATTGACACCTCTTTATAATTTTCAATGATAGTCAAAATTATATATATATATATATATATATATATATATATATATATATATATATATATATATATATATATATATATATATATATATATATATATATATATATATATATATATATATATATATATATATATATATATATATATATATATATATATATATATGACATTTATCTATGATTGGTTGTTTATCATTAAGAGAGGTGTGTGCATATTTCAAAACTAGAGAGATGTTACTGATATTTTAATAGACTTTACAGAAGTTGGGTGTAATGGGTGTCAGTGTCATTTCATTAGATCTCAAGGGAAGTGAGTGTATTTTTCTCTTTTTTTAACGATTGGTCACATTATTTTTTGATGAGTCACAATCAAATTCTATATTAATTAAGGCTGATAATGAATCAAATCAACTTGAAAATAGTTTGAAATTCAATTCAAAAATTAAATTGTTGAACTAAGTTCATGAACTAAATGAGCTGGATATGATCTAAAAATTAAGTTTGCTAACTAAATGAACTGAACTTGAATTATAAATAGTTCAACTCGTTAGACTCGTGAATCAATTCAATTATATATGAGAAATATTATATTGTCTTTAAAAATAAATTTATAAATTTTCTCTAAATTTTAGTCTCATATTTTCTTTTAATCTAATAGTTTTAATTGATAATTTATATTTTCAAGTGAGAAAAATATTTCTAAAAATAATTATACAATTAAAATTAATATCATATAAATTCCAATTTTATAACTTTTATTTTATTTTTATATTTTTTATTTGAAAAACATTAATTTAAAATTTTATATATATATATATATATATATATATATATATATATATATATATATATATATATATATATATATAGATTTTAAAATAGATTTTAAAAAAATATTTTTAAGTCCATGAAAAAAGCGAGTTGAACCTAACAAGATAAACTGAATCGAGATATTCGTGAACTTCTAACCAGTCGAGTTTGAGATGAAAAAAAGTTCGTTATGAACTCGAACTCGACTAATTTTTAATGAGTTGAGTTTAAGCTGAAAAAAAAATTGTGATAAACTCAAACTCGATCAATTCTTAACGAGTTGAATTTGAACTGAAAAAAAAATTCAATGATAAATTCGAATTCGAACTCGAATAATTCTTAACGAGTCGATTTGAGTAAAAATCAGAAATTCCAATTTCGACTGTCAATAGAAAGAGAAGATTTATATGTCAATTAAAAATTCAGATTTCTATCGTCAACAAAAAAACCAAAGTTTCTAATCTTTGTTCTCAAATCAATGGTTTGTATATAATTTTTGGGAAAGATTATTAGTAGCAGCATAGTGTAGAAATAAACACATTTGTGAGAGACACACCACTTATTCACCTAAAACCTTAAGATGATAGGTGAGTGGATTGTCTCCACATTTCTATCTAATATGAGACTATTTTCCCACTTACTCACACTTGCTATATTATTCCAACAATGTCAACATCTAAATCCTAAACTTCAAATTGAAGAACAAGATGTTTTTGAGAGGTTCACTGCTGAGTTTCTAATCTTTCTTGTAACTGATTCCTTAAGAGGTTCACTGCTAAAAGCCAAATCCACATAAATCATTTCTGCAAAAAAAAACTCAGATCTATTCAAATTCTCTAATGCATTCCAAATTCCAAACGAAGGGTTTCCAGAAGTTGTTAAAGGACTGAACGAACAGACAACCTTGACCTTGGAGGATTGAACCACAAACGACTTTGCTCTTGAATTGAACGCATAAATATATCCCGAGTTTCAATTCTCTATATTCCGGATGAAGAGTGAAGCATAAACTACTTTGTTTTTGAATTTGGAAAAAAAATTAAGAAATTGATTTGTTATTAATTCGTGTTGTAATTTATTTAATGTTCATTTAGATTTTAATTTAATAAGGCGAATATACAAATATATAAAAAAAGGACATGTATTATATTGTTAATTAATTGACATTAATAAAACAAATTAATTTTAATTATAAATAAATGATTTGACAAAAAAATCAATAACATATATGTCATGAATTATTTAAGAGAATTGATTCCGTGAGTAGAAGAAAATAAAAGAAACAAAACTGTATTTTTAAATATATAATGAAAAAAAAGTAGTAAAGGACTAATTAATTTTCTTATTAAATAGAGTATTAATTAATATCATATTGAATTTAAACTATTATTATTTAAATTATTAGTTCAGTGGTCATTAATATTATACTTGATAAAAATGATTACAATTTAATTTCTCGCAATTATAATTGAGAGAACTAAAATTACTTTGATATTAGAATTGACCGTCAACTAGATTAATAATTTTAATAGACTAAATAGTTGTGGTGAAAAATGGTGTTACATTTAAATTAGCTATAAATATAAAATTATACCAAAAAAATATGTTAGTTAATATTTATTTATTTTCAATTAAGATAATGAAGATTAGAGTTAAAAAAAAAAATCCACAAAAATCTAACGGCTATAAAAATTAAATATATGCCATAATTTCATAGTATGAACATATGAAATGGTATTAGAATTTTAGTTATTATGAATTATAATTCTTGAATATATGTATCTAAAATGATTCACTTTTATTATGAATTAAAATGCTAAAATATTATATAATAAATTAAAAAATCGACGGTTACAAACAAATCTTCATTAAAAAAAAAGTAATTGTACCCTCAGCAAAACTATATAATATATTCATATCCACCTTACCCATAACATACGACTCAACTTTAGGCACTGTTATTATTTTGTTTTTTTCTCTTCTATTCGCTTAACATATACGATTCACTTCGGTTTCAACGCACTCAACTTCTGTGACCGATGACGATGCTATCAGATTCACATCAAAACAGTAAGTTCACCGCTGAAACCGCGTCGACACTGGTGAATGAACTGAGAGCAACATTTGTTTCCGGTGAAACAATGAGTTACAAATGGAGAGTATCACAACTTAAACAACTCTATAAGATTGTGGAGCATCACGAACAAGAAATCGTAGATGCTCTTCTCAGCGACATCGGTAAACCGCCGTTGGAAACGGTTGCTTACGAGGTTCGGTTATCTTGTAGTTTGAATTTATTTTATTTTATTTATTTATTTATTGTTTGTTAATTTTGGTAATTAAAGGAAGTTATATTTCATTTATTGTTATTTAGGGTAGTAAAGTGAAGTGAAATGGTGATAGTGCATGTTGTTTTGGATCGTCGAAAATTCCGATTTGAATTGTTATATTTATTTTTTAATGTGTTTACGATTCGGTGGTTGAAACGTTGCCGTATGAGTTTTTTAAGGTCTGGCGTGAGCATTAATGATGAACTATTACTTTCGAAGTGGACCAATCTTGTGATATTGTCTTGAACATTATTTATAAATTGGGGATATGTTTGTTACTGTCAATTTATAATAAGTGGTTTTGTTGAAGCTGTACATTTTGCAAAATCACAGTGGATCAAATTGATTTGTCACACTCAATGTGATAACAGTTAATTCAACTTAAAATTTAAAATGCAGTACTTCTCTTGTTAAAATTTTAACAAGGAGATTAAGCTTAATGGCGCAACTGTTTCCTTATAATTAGGACATGAAGCTGAACATGTAGAAGAATTAAACCTGATTTGTTGCTTATTAAGTTGTTGAAGGGTTGGAGTAATGAACACAACAGTGTTAAATATGATATATGTCTATCGTCTCATACTTGTTGTTGTATTGTAGATTGCTATGTTGAAAAACTCATGTAAAACTGCAATCAAGGAATTGAAGCATTGGATGACTCCGGAAAAGGTAATCTTATAAGTGAAGTTGCTACACTGAAATTATTTGTCATTGTTCTTATCATTAATCACACAAATTCCCCCTTTAATGCAGGTCCAGACATCCCTCACTACATTTCCTGCTTCAGCTGAAATAGTGTCTGAACCACTTGGAGTTGTGTTGGTCATCTCTGCATGGAACTATCCATTTTGTATGTTAAAATGTTTATCTTTTATTATCTAGTGTTTTCTTTGACTTATTTAAACTTATGTACTGACATAGACATTTGTGAAATTATTTGGGAGAGTTTATAGAAACGACTTATGACATGTTCATAAGTTGTTTTCAATTTGTTTTTATATATTATTATAAAAGTTGTTAGTACATAAACATTTATATGATAAACACTTATGTTATAAGCATTTAAATAAGTTGTTTATCCAAACAAATGATGATATTATTGCGTTATCTCTGTTTTTTCAGTGCTGTCACTTGATCCAGTCATTGGAGCTATTGCAGCTGGTAATGCTGTGGTCTTAAAACCGTCAGAAATTGCTCCAGCCACATCAGCATTGCTGGCAAAACTGTTAGGGGAGTACATGGATAACTCATCTATAAGAGTTGTTGAGGGAGCGGTTGATGAAACATCAGCATTACTGCAACAAAAGTGGGATAAAATTTTCTACACAGGTTATCCTTGTTTCTCACCTCTGGTGTTCTTTTATGGTTTATAATTCCAAATTGGTTTTCTCACATAAACTTTTCTTTATGGTTTGAATTCTTGTTGATTATTACTCGTGCAAATTTTGATAACTCTTTTGGATAATTCACAAGTGCATTATTTCATCAGCTCTGAAACACGGGTATTTCTCATTATTCTGTTTTGAGTGAAATTTGTGGTATAATATTATGTAGTTAGTTTCTTTGTTATTGTAGCTTAAAATTTAACTTTTGAAACTTTTGTGATGTTTTTGTGTAAATTGAACAATTTAGTTGTCTCTTGATACATTTTATAGATAAACTTTTTTTTATTGATGTACTTGTACCATAATCCTTTTTAAGATTCCGTATAGCATAATACCCGGTACCTTACCCGTACCCGTGCAATTAAAAAATCGCAACTAACTACCAAATTATATGGCCAAACTTTTCTTGTTTACTATTCTTTTTCTTCGATTTTTTCTTAGAGTTGTGAGAGAAATTGTCATAAAGACAACTTATAGTTTTCTCAAAAGTTTGTTAAAATGATGTTTGGATCATATCAGATAATGGTTGGTTTTTTAGGTAATGGAAGAGTGGCACGCATCGTGATGGCGGCTGCTGCTAAGCACCTTACACCAGTTGTGCTGGAGCTTGGAGGAAAATCCCCTGTTGTAGTTGATTCAAACTCAAATATCAACTTACAGGTATGCCCTTTGCCTCTCTTTTGTATCTAACAAATACTTGCTATCACCCTACTGACATTTCACCTCATCAAAACATTTAAATTGATTTGAACTTAAAATTGCAAGGTTACAACTAGAAGGATAATTGCTGGAAAATGGGGTTGCAACAATGGACAAGCTTGCATTTCTCCCGATTATATTATAACCACAAAAGACTATGCTCCTAAGTTGGTAATAGCTTTTTCCCTAGTGTAGTTACCATTCTCTATATGTCTCTTTGTTTAGTGTTTGGTGCATTCTATTTTTTAGGTGGATGCTCTAAAGACTGAATTGGAAAGTTTTTATGGAAAGAATCCATTGGAATCAAAAGATTTGTCACGTATTGTAAACTCAAACCACTTTGCTCGCTTGACTAAGCTTTTGGATGATGATAAAGTTTCTAGTAAGATTGTTCATGGAGGTGAAAAGGATGAAACCAAATTGTAAGCTCTCTGTCTTCTTTGTTGGAAGTTCTTCATTGATGATATCTTGATATGGTGAAATACAACTTTGGCATTAAAATCTCTCTCTTTTCCCTTAAATTACAGGAGAATTAGCCCGACTCTTCTATTGGACGTCCCGCGAGATTCTCTAATAATGAGTGAAGAGATATTTGGTCCATTACTTCCCATCGTCACGGTGGATAAAATAGAAGAAAGCTTTGATGTGATAAACTCAGGACCAAAGCCTCTTGCTGCATATATATTTACCAACAATAAGAATCTCAAGGAGCAGTTTGTTAAGACGATTTCTGCTGGTGGTTTGGTCATCAATGACACTACTATACACGTAACTTAACGTTGAATCTCTTAATTCATAGTTTTGAATTGAAGCGAAATTTTAACACTATTAACTTCCATGTTTCTGTTACTGATGTGTGCTTTTCATTTGTTGCAGCTTGCAGTTCATACTCTACCTTTTGGAGGAGTAGGTGATAGTGGAGTTGGTGCATACCATGGAAAATTCTCGTTTGATGCATTTAGCCACAAAAAAGCAGTTCTTTATCGCAGTTTTTTCGGTGATGCTTCTATAAGGTATCCACCATACACCAAAACAAAGTTTAGATTGATGAAGGCTCTCATGACTGGTAGCATAATTGGTATAATTCGTGCTATATTTGGAAAGTCCTAGAATTATCTGTCTTGGTATCTAGCATTTAATTGTATTTGGCAAGTCTTCAATTCTGGTTTTCTTGTATTTAATTGTTCAATTTTTTTTTGGGTTTAAACACATCAACCATGACTTTTGTGCTTTAGAATAAATTAGATAGTGCTATATGATAACTCTCGCATGTGTAATTTAATATATACTACATGATAACTCTCACTTTCACTTGTGAAATTAATATTTGAATAAATTAGGAATTAGGAGAAAAATCAAGTATGTTGTTTCTCTGTTTGAGACCGATATTTATTTGTCTAGAATGCTCATTCTGTGTTAAAAGGTATTAGTAAAAAATAAGACATTGAATCTGAGTGTGTGAGTATGAAAAATTGCGTCTTTCTCGTGTGATGGTTGTCAATTTATATATGATTTGATTTCATATGCTCTGAGTCCTTAATAACCAATTCATTTACCATTACGACCCATGTTTCCTTATCTATCTAAGGGCAATTAATGAAAATCAAGTTCGTTGTTTTTCTATTTGAGACGACCAATTATGGCTATTTATTTGTGGGGAATGCGCTGTTTGCATGTTAAAAGGTAATACTAAAAAATAAGACATTGAATATGAGTCAGCCTATTCGACTGGGCTCATCGATCTCACTCGGTTTTGCCTCCATAGGATGACTTAAAACCGGGTGGATTATACTAAGTCTGGGTTTGGATCCAGCTAAATTATTGGATTGTACACAGTCTCTCAAAGATGAGACGTGTAAGAGCATCTCTAATGGAGGTTGCTTAATGCATATTAGGATTTATAAGTTCTTGAACTTAGCATTTTTACCGTTTGTGTAGTAGTAGATATACGTAACGTTCTCGTTGTTTAAATATTTGTGTAAGTTACATCATGAAGCAATCCCTAAAGTAAGTTGCTTAGTATTAAATAATATTAATCTTAATAATTGGTGGGGTCAAATATGAATTTATTGGGCCACATTAGATTGCTTATTTAAATCACCATTGGGGTAAAATTGATTTACATTGCTTATGTGTTGCTTAAATGCAATGTAACAATTGGTTTCACACAAAATAGTTTTAGCAACCAAAAATAAGTTCTCCTATCGGAGATGTTCTAAGGGCGAGATGTTTTAGGTGAGAGATGGATTGTATATCATCTCACGGACCGTCGATGTCAGGATCAGACCTAGATTAATTGAGCCAACCTCAATGTTGAGGGTTGGGTTGACCTAACGATGATATTCATATTTGTTGTCTTATAGTGGATTCTCTCTTTCCAGACTCAAATTGCTTAAGTCTTACTCTTTTTTTAAATTGTCTTTTTTAGAGGGTTGTGGAGGTCTCTTATTTGTTGGTATTAACATTACATGAATAAATTTCTAATTTGAACCCTTACCACGTGGGCAATGTATTCCTCTAGTTAAAACAATGATTATAACACAAATTATGACTTTTTTTAAAGCACAAATAAGCATCTTCTTAGTTATTATGGTGATAAATACGTACTCTCTCTGTTCCATATTATAAGTAAAAGTTACTTTTTAGGTTCATTGAATATATATATATATATATATATATATATATATATATATATATATATATATATATATATATATATATATATATATATATATATATCGGATACATTAAATATTTAATATAAGATGGAGGAAGTATGTGAAGATGACATCGATCACCAGAAATGTTATTCTACACGCGCAAATGAGAAAACATGATGAGTGAAACTTTTCTTGATAAAAGATTTATATTTAAAGGGGTTGTTATTTCTACCCTTTTGTGTTATTTCCTACCACTGTAAAAAGACTAAAATGTTCTTAGCATTCTGAGATGCATCTCTAGACGCACTTTTTTCACATATATTTTATACGAAATTGCTGAGAAATTCTTATTCTGTTAAAATTTGATTCGAAAATGCAACTCAGTATGCACAAAAGGTTACTTCGGAGATGCATCTCCATAACCCTTCTTAGTTCGTTATTATGTGAACTTTTCGAGGAAATGCATCTCCAAAATATCCTTTATTAATTCTAACTAGAAATAAGTAGAAATTGTGGCAGAATGGAAGAAAGAAAACATAAATTAGTATCAAATTAAACATTACATAAATTCAACATTACATGTCATTACAAACTGGTGCTTCAGCACGTTGTAACATCCTTATAATATCTTTGACTGATCTTTGAATCGTTGCATCCACTTCAATCAGACTCTTTGTTGGTTAACAATAAAAGGTACTCCACGTAATCATCAAATCATCATCCTTCTTCAGTTCAAGCATGGTGAACCGTATCTTGCCTTCGTTGTCAATCGAGAGTGAATGGTACTCGAACTTGACAATTATCTGATTTTCTGGATATTGCAGGTGAATATTTAGTTTGGATTTCAGACCGTCGAGAAGTATGTCCTCGGAGACTCTAAACTATAGTGAAGGATTTGCGCCATTGAAATACACAAATGTACGATGGTGATTGAGATTCATTCTGGTTTTAATAAAGAAAATGAAATGAGAGGCCCTATTTATAGAAATTGTAGATCAATAAGGACTTTACAAACCCTATTATATAATCAGGATAGTATTCGAAGATACATATTTGGATCCGCCCTTTCAATTCCAATTTGTTTTTCCCCTTTAATGTGATGAAATATAAAAATGATGTTTTGGTGTTGAAGGGTTGATTGAAAAGGAAATAAATTTTTTAAGGGTTTTGAAAATGGAGTGTTCTTTGAGTATGGAGAAGAAGATCATGTCAGGTGGTGTTTTATTCAATTTTCTGCTGGACATTTTCGGATTTGCATCTCTGGAGATATTACTGAGTCGTTAATTTAACCAGTTCAGTGAATAAAAACACCATAATTGAATACATGTGATATTTCAGAGATGCATCTTCAGATACACTCAAATAACATACGGAGATGAATCTCCAAATCATATTTTTTTTAAAATGGGATAAATCTCTAAAAAACGAAGATTGATGTGATTTTAGGTGCGTCTAAAGACACATCTCTAAATGTATGAAATGCATTTTTTTATTTCAAAGTTGAAGAAGACATCAATAAGGGTGGAAAGAGCACCTCCATATTTAATTACATGGTTAGGGAACATGATTGGGCCTAAAATTGTATGAATTGTATAAATTGTATAAATTGTATTGGAATATATAAAACACGTATCTATATGATCACAAAAAGAAATTATTCAACGATTACAAAAATAAAATTTGCATGATTTGATTTTTTACCAAACAATTGTGAGTTTATATTATAAATATTATATGAGCTCAATTAATTAAAGTAAATATGAAGAAGTGCACGTTAGAGGAATTGCTTCTCCCATTATGGAGTGTTTTGTGACAGTGTTGGCATACGGCTTGCTTCTGCAAGAGATTTTCTTTTGGTTACAAGGCTGATAAAAGAAAGGAGCTAAAACAAATAAAACTAGACATGAAGGCAAGACGTTCCTTTGTTGTCATATGCGAGAATGAGATATACAAGCAGGTTTCTAAGAGCCACTATGAACAACATCAAATTATGAAAATGAAGATATTTTTCAGTGTAGAGAATGAAAATTTAAGGGGATAACATATCTCCTTGGCAAAGGCCTTGGGAAGACTTAAAGGATGGCATTGTGTTTTCATTCCACAAGATAGACAATGATGAGAAGATGAAATAATGTATAAGGGAATTGTTCTTGCTAAACACTAAATGGGTGACTTTTCTGCTAGTTGATGGATATCGGGGAGAGCTTCAAGTAAATGGGAGTGAGTCATTTATGATATTAAGGGATTCAGAGGGTCACACCAGTATGTGTGAGTTCCAAGTAATGTGTCTTGTTTACCCCTCAGTCGGGAGCCCTATATATAGAGGTATCTGGATCTCATTGATCACTGCATGTAACTGCTTTGACTCTCTATCATACGTAACTGAGTTGCCATTAAGGCAAGAAACGTCTGCCATTGCCAATGATGGTTGTTATCATAACGTGTGCCGCCATGTATTGATGAGCGATTACACCCTTAATGGGACGATTACTCTATAACGGCCTCATCAAGGTCAGACTCCATGTAACCTCTGGATCCAGGAATAAGCCCGACTGGAACCTCTTCATCTTTCTCGATGGCCGATCACGTATGCTTCCGGCTATACAACCCGGCTCAGGCATGATGATCTTAAATCGAGGTATTACCCGACTAAGCATTTATTTGTCCTCCTTGGCCTTCTATCCATATCTTGTATTTTTATCTCTCCTAGCCTGGACAATGGATCTATGTATGAACATAAGTCCCACAAGCATATGAATTTTATCTGGAACCTTATGTTCGGTCAACATAAATATTGATCTTTTACTCTGGGTCGGGCTTCTATAGTCGGGTGATGGCTAGTCCCATACCTTGGTGTGCATGTCACTCACGCCCTAGTTTTCCAACAATCACCTAGTTTTCTTTGGTATAATCATTACTAAGGATATTTTTTGAAACCTACACATGTTTCCTCTCCTTTAATTGTTACTTCCCATAACTCCTTCTTTTATAAAAACCTTTCCTCTTCTGTTCCCAAAGACTCGCCTATTTTCCTTTGCATGTGCCCTCAATTCATCTCTTCAATTTCTTCAAACGACAACTGCTTCCAGGTATCTATCTCTTCCCTTTACCTTATTTTTCCTGCACATTTCCTTTTGTTTTGAGAGATGACAATTTTACGCGAGTGTGATGAAGAGGGTGTCGTTCTAAAACCCCAAAATGCTGAAGAGAGATATGCAGTGGCGTGCATGCATGAGGAATTGTGAAAAAGGCTTAGGCAGAGAGGAGTTCGATCGTATTATGCTGGAAGTTTATAGAGATATATATGCTTCTTTTAGCGATTCTGACTCTGAATCTTCCTCATCAAGTTCCGTGGAAATCCTAATGGAAACTTCTGGCTCTTTTAGTGAGGAGGTGATGGGTTACGACCAAATCTCCATGGATGAGGTGGATATAGTGAAGCTTATCTCT